GAAGGAAGGAAGGAAGGAAGGAAGGAAGGAAGGAAGGAAGGAAGGAAGGAGAGTGCTAAGGGGAGGGCACTGGGAGCATCATTCATTCATTCATTTGTGAGTAATGAGTTATCAGACGAAAAGCTATCTCCATAGCTATTTGGGAATGAATAGAATCAGGCTAACAACATGCTTCAGTCAACATCAATGCTTCTAGAAGCTGCACTCTTCTCCTGGCAGGCGAGGTGGTCAAGTGGCGGGGGGTGGAAGTCAGGCACAAGTTCTAAGGCTTGGAATAGTTTTTACACTTCCCCTCCACTCGGAGCTAACATATGAACACTAAACTACCTTTACAGCTTACTTTTCTTTCTGATGTCATTTTGGTTCTTCAAAAATTTTTTCAAATGTTTTTATTTATTTTTGAGACAGAGAGAGACCGAACATGAGAAGGGGAGGGGCAGAGAGAGGGGGGAGACACAGAATCTGAAGTGGGTTCCAGGCTCTTAGCTGTCAGCACAGAGTCCAACGTGGGGCTCAAACTCACAGAGTGTCAGATCATGACCTGAGCTGGTCGGACGCTCAACTGACTGAGCCACCCAGGCACCCCTCATTTTAGTTCTTAATGTGGGGAAGGGCAAGGGGGCTGCTCTAACATTTTGTCATCCTAATGACTGCTGCTAATAAGGGCTTCTGGAGCAATTCTCTCTCCTCAGGGACCAAGCATGGGAGAAAGTTACTGGGCAAAAGCCAGCTTCTGTTCTCATAGCATGTGGTGAGTGCACTAATGGTGTGATATCATTACCTGTTTCTAAGTGCTCTGTGGGAAAGCCCAGCCCTTTGATTTGAGACAGAATATTAGCAGGGTACTGATGGTTTAAACAAAATTGCTTTTCTCCTCTTTACCTATGGGGGGGGGGGGAATAGCAACAACTGGAACAAAATATTGAAAATAAATGTCTAAAGTGCTCTAGGAAAAAGGCAGAGGTAAGACTTTTCCCAGTAGAAACAATTGTCTTTGGAACAGACATAATGCAGTATTTCCTCTTTGATATCTTTTAGGTTTATATACATTTACTGAGTATTCAGGAGCTAGCACTTCACATTGTTTACCTTATTTACTATCATAACCTATTTATGAGGAAATGTTATTCTCCTCTTGCAAAGGAGGCTCAGAGAGTAGAATCTTCCCCAAGGTCCTGAGGCAGCACCAGAGGGTGGCCATGCTTCTTACCCCTCCCTTATCCCCATCTCCAACAGCCCTTAAAGCTACTCTGGTAACTTTACAATCTAAAACAAAAGGTTTATGCAGATGTTATGGAAATGTAGCTTCTAAACATGCCCCTCCTTCTGCAATACCCTAGCCTCTGAGACCCTCCTGTAGCCAATCAAACATCTAATAAATGGCAGGCGTTGACATAGGGGCCAGAACTTTCTGGCTTAATTCTTGGGTGTGTTCCTGTCCCTGCTTTTAGGAGCCTCCCCTCCAAGCAGCAACACAACTGCTTTCACTTAGGTTTCATTTTGAATATTCCATTTCCTTCTGAATAAATCAGAGCAAAACTTCTGGCTAATGAATGCCTCAGAAGTTTTTCTCTCCCTTCAGTTGTAGCTCATAGATAAAAACCTGGCAGGTGAAGAATTTAACCACTCCACCCTCATCCACCTTGCCCCAACACTTACCCAAATCCCAGAGACTTCACAAATTCTTTCAATTTGGGAACATCAACTTCTTTGCTACTCCTTTTTGGCCCTCCCTTATCAGGATTAGCTACTTACTGCTCTTCCTGTTTTGCTTCAACTGAAATAAACTTGAGCTCTTATCCCACCCGTCAGATAGATTTCCTAGCTTAAAAGCTTTGAATAAGAATGACATTGATCCTACCTTTCCTGCAAAGTGGCATTACTGCTTATTACTGATGTTTGTACTGCTCCATATTACTTTTGAGAATTTCATGGACTTTCTCACTGCAGACGAGTCAGTGTTTTGGAATTGGCATCTCCTCAGGTAACAAGATTGATTGCCTCATTTTTTAAATTTCATTTTTTTCAAAGAAAAGTCTAGTCCAACTTACTAATTAAAAAAAAAAAAAATCTGATTTCGGGGGCGCCTGGGTGGCTCAGTCGGTTGAGCGACCGACTTGGGCTCAGGTCATGATCTCATGGTTTGTGAGTTCGAGCCCCGTGTCGGGCTCTGTGCTGACAGCTTGGAGCCCAGAGTCTGCTTCTCATTCTGTGTCTCCCTCTCTCTCTGCCCCTCCCCCGCTTATGCTCTGTCTTGCTCTGTCTCAGAAATAAATAAACATTAAAAAATTTTTTTAAAAAAATCTGATTTCGTTACAATCAAACCCAGAATTCAATTAACTAGCATTTACATGATTAGCATTGCTCAAAGGTAAGTATATTTTCTGTAGAGACTGACCAGTGGGGCAGCTGCGCAAATCTCTGCAAGAAGGTTCCTCTTCTTTGGTGACAATGAGTCAGATTTGTATTAACTCAGAAATGAATTTAAGGAGAAAAAAAAAAAAGAACTTTGTCATCTAATGAGTAACTGTTTCATCTTGGTTTAGTTGATAAAGCAGTAGCTCTAAAAATAAAACTTACTGTAGATTTGTTCTTTTCTCTTTTATGTTAAAAACCAAACTCTTTAACTTTGCCTTTCTGCACATCTAAATAATATACAATTTTTTAAAATGACTTTAAGTATTAGTAGTTGGAAGAAACTGCTTGGTTTGGGAATGGTGTGCTAATTCGTTAGGTCCACATATCAGCTGGAATATACATTTCAAGGAAGTTTTAAATGTCCCCAATTGAAATGTTTTCCAAGAAATCAGACCTATTTGTTTTGTTTTGTTTTCCTCATCGACAATGATTGCCTAAAAATCTACCCTGGACCGACTGAAAACATAATAACTTTCCACATCTTTTTCTTCCTCATCCTACAGATACCATAGCATTTTGTACATTCTAATGGCAGTTCTTAAATTCTGCCCCTTTTGAAGTTGTTTGATTGTATAAAAAGTGATTGTGTGAGAAGAGTCTTATATAGAGTCTTATATAAACCAAGCCTGAACCACCTTTGTATCCTTTGTGGAACCAGAGTTTTCTGACTTTTACTGCCCTAATCCATCTAATATCCTATTGTCAAATTTATTTTCCTAAAGTTCAGCTCTGCTTAAGTAACTTCTTGGATAAGAATCTACAACAATTTCAGGTTGTTTACTGAATTATATGCTCCTGCCTCACCTGGTATGTGTAACCTTCCATTATCTGGCCCTAACCTGTCCTTTCCAGCTTTGTCTCTATGGTATTTTCCATTGAAACGTGGCTCTTCCTACTTCTGAGAATAGGTCCTGGGATTTCCCATTTTTCTCGTGCTTTCTCACCAACTAGAATGCCTCACCTCATACAGAGACCCATGCACAAAGCCATGCCTGATCCTCCCAATTGAAAAAAATCTTTCCTTGATTCTGATCTTTGCAGCACCTTGTTTATACCACTCTTGGGTACTTACATCACTACTGCCCACTTTGGGTTAAATTATAATAACCTGTGGAATTGTTTTATCTCTCTGATTTGAGAGTAAGCCTGGTATGCTTGAAAGAACGTGAGCTATGAGGTTGGAAAACTCTAAGTTCAGATAATGCCTCTCATTTATGGGCTGTGTGACTTTGGACAAGTAACCTACCTTTCTGAGCTTTTTTATTATTTTTTTTAATCTATATAAAATAATTGATTCACTTCCCCTTTCTCATGCATTGAGTTATTATAAGTAAAAAGAAGATTCTTTCTACCTAACCCAATCTCACTTGTAAGTAGCAAAAAAGTAATCAAGTTGGAACGGAGTAAACAGAGGCCAATGAATAAAAAGAGACAGAAAGCTTGTACTGAAAGTGTAAGAATTGCCAAAAAATGATGAGTTAAAGGAGTTTAACTGAGAAAAGAAAGAGCAGAAGAAGAGATTTTTTTTTTCCTTCAGTTTCTTGAAGGAGTTTTATTAGTGGATAGTATATTCATCGAGTCAGGGAGCAATATCTCTCGTCACTCAAAGCAACAAAGCCCCTTGAAATCAAATAGAAGTCAAGCTCACTTCTCTCTAAAGCTGTCCATCCTGTACTACGTCTTTCAGAAATAAAACATTGAAAAGAAACAGTGTCATCCCAGCATATGGTGGGAGATTGGCTATTTTGCCTTCCAAAACAGAAGAAATTTATCATATTTTTCAAGGACAATTTCCTGAAATAAATTTGCCATTGCTTCTGCAGAAGGGGAAAAGAATTAATGTGCACATTAGTAATATTGTTACTCAAAGTGGTCTGTGGAGTTTGTTATACATTCAGAATCACAGACCCTGACCGGCAACTTACAGAGTAGAATCTACATTTTAAAGAGATACCTAGTGGGGCACCTTATTGGCTCAGTCAGAAGAGCATGGGACTCTTGATCTTGGAGTCAAGCCCCACATTGGGTGGGGCAATTAGAGATTACTTAAATAAATATTATGAAAATAAGCAAAAAGATATTAAGAAACCATAAATAAAATGAAAAGGCAACTTACTGATAGGAGAAAATATTTACAAATCATATATCTGATAAGGGGTTAATATACAAAATACATAAAGTAATCACAAAACCTAATACAAAAAACCCTCCAAACTACTTGATTGAAAAATGGGCAACAGATCTGAATACACGTTTTTCCAGAGAAGATATATAGATGGCCAACAGGTAAATGAAAATGTACTTGGGGCGCCTGAGTTGGTGAAGCATCAGACTCTTGATTTCAGCTCAGGTCATGATCTCACGGTTGTGAGAATGAGCCCCTCATGGAGCTCCATGCTGAGTGTGGAGCCTGCTTGGGATTCTCTTTCTCCCTCTCTCTCTCTACCCCCACCCTGTGCATGCTCCCTCTCACTCTCACTCTCAAAATAAATAAATAAACTTTCAAAAAATGTATTCAACGTCACTAATCATCAGGGAAATGTAAATCAAAACCACAATGAGAAATCATCTCACATCTGTTAGAATGACTATCAAAAAGACAAGAAATAGTAAGTGTTGACGAGGATGTGGAAAAAAGGAACCACTTGTGTACTGTTGGTGGGAATGTAAATTGATGCAGCCACAATGGAAAACAGTATGGAGGTTCCTCAAAAAATTAAAAATAGAACTACCAGCAATTCTACTTCTGGGTATTTGTTGAAAGAAAATGAAAACAATAACTTGAGAAGATATATGCACCTCTGTGTTTATTGCAGCATTATTTACAATAGCCAAGATGTGGAAACAACCTAAGTGTCTATCAATAGATGAATGGTTAAAGAAGATGTGGTGTATATATACACAATGGAATATTATTCAGCCATAAAAAGGAACGAGATTTTGCCATTTGCAACAATATGAGTGGACCCTGAGGACCCTATGCTAAGTGAAATGAATCAGACGGAGAAAGACAGATACTTCATAGTCTCACCTATATGTAGAATCTTAAAAGAGAAACAAACAAACAAATAAACCAACCTCATAGATAGAACAAATTGGCAGAGAAAGGGGTAGGTGGTTGGAGAAACGGATTAAAAGTTACAAGCTTCCAGTTACAAAATAAATAAGTCATGCAGGTATAATGTATAGCGTGGCAATTGTAGTCAATAATACCATGTTGCATATTTGAAAGTTGCTAAAAGAATAGATATTAAAAGTTCTCATCACAAGAAAAGCAATTATGTAACTATGTATGGTGATGGATGGTAACTAGACTTATATACAAATATTGAATCATTATGTTGTATACCTGAAACTAATGTAATGTATGTCCATTGTACCTCGGTTTAAAAAAAGATCCTGGTATTTTATAAGTACATTAAAGTTTGAGAAGCACTGATGAATAAAGTCTTTTGTTCATGTTAAGGATTCTAAGATCCTTAACACTAGGAAATCATTTTTTCCCTCTTTTTCCACCTCAGTCTGAGTCATTTGAGATTCTTTAGTGTCCATTAACAATTTAGACTAACATGGGCTTGTAAAATGCAAAAACATACTAATGTAATATGATTGCAAGAAGGTTCTATAAGTGATGGCTTCTTTTTCACTTGCACTATGCTGAGGCTGAGGAATGGCAGCCTATTAACTGGAAGTTCTTTCCTAGTCACTATACCTGGCCTTTGGGTGAGCTTGTATTAGTCTCACATGAAAGAGCTGTCGGTTGGATAGATGAAATAGACTGTGAGGAAGTCAAATGGAGAGACCATTGCTAGCAGAATTTCAAATTCAGGTGGATGTTTGTTAGTATACCCTTTCTGCAGGGCAATCTGGCAATATGTTTAAGAACACTAAACTTCTTTGACTCAATGATGCCCATTCCGAGAATTTATGTAAAATACATAATCAAAGATGCACAGAAAGATTAATGAATGAAAATTTAAAAAAATTTTTTTAAGTTTATTTTTTTATTTTGAGAGAGAGAGAGAGAGAGCACAAGCTGGGGAGGGGCAGAAAGAGAGACAGAATCCCAAACAGGCTCCATGCCATCAGTGCAGAGCCCGATATGGGGCTCGAACTCACAACCTGTGATATCATGACCTGAGCTGAGATCAAAAGTCAGACGCTTAACTGACTGCACCATGCAGGCGCCCCAGGAATGAAAAATTTTTATGTGCCATTAGCTATATTAGTGAAAACTTACAAATAACTTAGATATTCCACATAATAATGAAATGATGAGCTAGATTATGATGTGGCCGCATAACAGAATAGTACGCAGCCAGTAAAATCTTATTTTTGACTTGGGAGAAGTTCATAGCATGCTAAATGTAAAGATAAACTCTCCAAATAAAAATGAAGTATGATCCAAATTTTATAAAAAACTATTTACGTAGGAAA